CCTCCAATCCTTGGTTGGGGGTGACGTGGCGAGATTGGAGGGTGCTCCTGTACCCCTGTTCCTTCGGGATGATTGGGAGCAGTTGGTGAACTCCATGCCCGCTTTCGACGGGGACGGGCCTGTGCCCGCGGAGGTTCCTGAGGACCTAGCGGCCCTGGCGATGGTGAACGTATCCTCTGGCGACTCCGGCAGAGAGAAGGAAGAAGAGGAGTAGGAAGAGGAGCCCGATTCCAAGGCGACCGACGGGGAGTCGAGAGCGCCCCTCCCTCGGCGTAGGTCCCGCGCTCTTTGCCTCATGCCGAACGACGACGAGGATGGCGACTAGTGAGACGGTGAGTGCTCGCCCCTGATCCCGAAGAAGGACATGACGGGGCTGGTTCTCCGCTGGCCTGCACCGGCTTCGAGGCGACCTGCAGACGTGCCTCCTGCTCCCGAGTCTCTTGAGGTTGATCCCAGCAGGCGGCTCTCGGGCTTCAAGTTTGGCTGGAGGTTGCTTGAGCCCGCGGGCGATGACCAGTAAGTGCTCGATTCTCGTTTTGCTTCTTGTTTTGTTGTTGAGGCTTGACGTCCATATTCCTTGGCTAGGCCGGTGCCTGCGGCGAAAAAGTTGAAGGGGGGCCCTGAGGCTTCGTCCGGGGCAGCACTTCCACCTGCGGGAGAAGGGGGCGGCAAGGCCCGGGCCTCTCCTGCCCGGTCATCCTCGCGAGGCCTGGCGGGGCGTGCTGGGGCAAGCTCAGCCCCCATGGACCAAGCGACTCCCGAGGTGTCCTCGCCTGACGCCACTGCTGTAGTCATTGGGGCGCAGAAGGTCCCAACTCATGGTGCTGTGATTACGCTGCCGTCTTCTCCTCCTACTCCGCCAACTGCCATTTCTCCAACTCCTTCTACTGTCCTGGATCGTGCTGCTGCTGAGCTGGACCGGCTGCAAGAAGATCTTCGGGGTGCCGACCCTCGCTTGGTGGCTGGGCGCCTGGAGCTGGCCTCCGGCTGGGTCCGCTCTGATGCTTCAGTTCGAGCGGCGCTGGCTCAGGCCGCGACGACTTGTGTTGGGGATATAACTATTTGTGTAAGCCGCCCAGGAGGGGCCGCGTTACGCAAAGAAGACTCACTAGAGAGAAGCCCAAGACCAAGCATGAAGATGGCGATTCAATAAAGGGCTTAAGGCCCACAGGCGACTTAAGGCCCGTTGTAGTAAACCGCCATAATGGCATGACTTGTATCGTAAGGTAGATTTAACTAGTCACCGAACCAGACAATGTTTATAAGCCGGCCGGTACTCTGTAAGCCACAGGGCATCAACCCGTGTATATAAGGGGACGACCTGCTGGCGGCTTAGGGCAAGAAACAACTCATCGAGAGCCAGGCATAGCATATATTTCTCCCTGGTCATCGAAACATCAATACCAAACCCAACTAGACGTAGGCCTTACCTTCACCGTAAGGGGCCGAACTAGTATAAACCCTCTCGTGTCCTTTGTCCCGATTTAACATCTTCAAGCTTCCTAGTTGCGATGGCTCCACAACTAAGTCCTTTCACGAGGACATCTGACATGAATTGTCCATGACAGTTGGAGCCCACCGTGGGGCCAGCGCACGGTGGATTTGAGTTCTTGAAGGGCAACTTCGAAGGGCTCAAGGGATACGTAGTGGGCCGGATGACCAAGAGTCGTCGTGGCAAGATCTACATCGACGATGAAGGCTGGGGTCCCGACGCCGGCTCAATTGAGTACGGATACCGGGTCCCCTTCGGCGGAATCCACGTCTTCATCGGCCGGATCGATGAGCCGGGCCCTGAGCCAGACAACTGCACTGACCTCGTCGAGACGGCTCAGCGTGCGAGGAAGACCCGGACTCAAGATGTTATGAAGCGTGCCTTCGTGGGCTGCATCCACGGAGAGGAACTTTCTGAAGGATCTGAAGATAGGGTTGAGACGGCCGTCCTCTCAGACGGTGATTCGTCCGCTGGCTCAACAGATTCATTGTACCAAGTGCAAGATGGCGTGCTCGGGGGCTGTTCCGATGGCATCAGTATTCCGGACCCCTGTGAGCCGCCAAGATGGGAAAGAGTCTTCATGGCTAGGACTCAGCCCGGCTCAAACTCTACAGCTGCTGCAGCAGTAACGTCCGGGTTAGGAGCAGCCGGGGCAGGCGGCCCCGTGCGCCCACCGGCTCAGGTGCTGATAGACCTCATGGACAAGCTTACGGCCCTGTTAACCGCAACGGTTATTCCTGCAGATAAAGATGAGCATGACGCGGAGGTGGCATGGGATGCGTGAAGAAATAGCTCAGGCCAAGGAGGCCTTGGCAGCTGAGGACACTAGATTAGCCATGGAGCGAGCGGCTCTAGATGCCCGGGCACAGCGGCTGCAGTCGGAAGCTTACCAGCTCACAATGAGCTTGAACACATCCAATGAGGTGATGAGGAGGAGACATCAGAAAACCCAGTCCCGTTTACCTCCGAATTACGACCCTCGGGGTTCTTTTTGCTACACCCGGAGCCGGCCCAAGTAACCCGCCAGAGGCCAATCAGCTTATGACAGCCGGAACAGGAGGGCCGGCTCAGCCTCGGGAGATGGCACCACCTCACGTGAGCATGCCACCGCCGCGTTATGTGCTGATTCCACCGGGTCACTTTTCCAACCCCATGGAGAACTCAATCGCAACTTCAACACATTTGGCGGCTCTTCCCATGGACGGTGATGACCCGGCGACAGTAGAAATCCGGAGGGTCAGAGAACTTCTATAGAC